AGGTCCAATGTTTTATTTTAGGTTTTAAAGGGATTCAACAAAATAATAGCTACATTTTTCAACCAATCCAAAATATAAATTTGATGGGTACATTTTTACTGAAATAACAGTGTACATATTCTCGATATGGTATTTTGTCAGAAATAATCGTTAGCAGAGTTGTAATAATTTTTTATTAAACTTTTTTTTGTAATTTTTTCAACTTAATTTACTTTTTTATTAACTTCCCGTTGGGCAAGTTATAGTAATTACAAAAAAATCGAAAATGAAAATTTTTATATATCTTTACGTTTCGAAACCTTCTGAACATTTTTGCATACCTTAGAAAAAATGAATGTATGTGTATGTGTATATGTGTGTGTATGTGTGTATGTGCGTGTATGTGTGTGTGTGCGGATACAAATTTTTGTCGACGATTTGGGGAACACGGATGAAGCGATTTGAATAATTCAAAAAACATTCGATTCGTATTGATAAGGAGACGTGCTGATTAGTTTTTTGAAAAGGCAGGTCTAGCCGTTCCGAAGATATGGTTCAAAAAGTGCCAAAAACGGTAACTCAGTTTTTAAGACAACGAAGCGTCTGATTTGAATAATTCAAAAAGTATTTTACTTTTACTAACAAGATGAAGAACTGATCAAATTTTCATGAAGACAGGTCTAGCGGTTTCGGAGAGATTTTAATAATAAGTATAAATTTTGTTTACATTCCTATGGGTTCCGTACCAATGTTTATCTGTTAGACGGCGACGCGGCGCTTACGCGCTTCGATATTTGGTCTCTATGTATTTAAAGCATTGCTGAAAAAAAGTTCAGAATTTCCAAAATATTTCAAAATAAATTTTTCTTCAAAAAGTCTTTTTTTCAAAAAAAAAATTAAGTTTTTGTCAAAAATTTCTAGTATCTCAAAAATCTATTTTTTTTCAGAGTAATTTTTTTTAAAAAATGTTAATCATGTTTAAAAAAAATAATTTTTGGTACGGGAAGTTCCAACAATTTGCCTTAAGGCACGATGCCACGCGCCCCACTAGTTATTTACTTTTGATTGTTTACCCCTTTGCCAGGGTGTAGGCTCTGATGGTCCTTTTTACCCCACCCACATGTAAGCTTTTATAGAGGTTATATAAAAAAACCGTTAAAGTTGATTTAAAAATAATAATACATCTTATAAAATATGTAAATAACGTAGATTTGAAAATTATATTAAGGTCTCGTAAACTAAACTACAGTGCTCACAATCAAAACAACTAACAACGAAAGAAAATACTTTTGTTCTGAATTTTCAAGCATGGCCATTTATCTCCTGATAGCGATTTCGTAAGAATCTGGGTAATGGTTGGTTACATATTTTTTCTCTCTACTTTCAAATATTGTATTTAAAAAATTCTTAACTTTACTTGTTTTTGAGATATCAGTGGTGGATTTTTTTTTACCCGGGGACTTTTAAGCCCCGCTCTACCTTATTATAAAAACCTTTATTTATAAAGTAATGATATTTTGATTGTCATATAAAATTAATTTATTTCTTAAAAAATCTGAAGTATGCCAGATGATATGTGAATCGTTAAATCAAAGGTTCGAGTGCTACTTCAAAATGTTAGAAAACAAAGTAATATTATTAATATTAAAATTTCCAAGTAATTATACCGAAAAGCATCGTAATTATCTATTATTTGATGGTTTAATTAATTGCATACAATTTTATTGTAGAATCATCTTATTTGAAGGTGAATTAAATATATTTGTGCTTATAATCATTACATTGAAATTTTCTCAAGTGGATATGAGAAGTAGTGAACTGACTATATTAATTAAATATTGAATGAAGTGATATTAACATTAAAGCTCATATTAAATGTTAATATTGTTTAATTTATTATTCTTACACAAAAAGCACTGAGTCAATTAATTTAAGAGCATAAGGTAAATTAAATTAATTATAGTTAATATCATATTTAAATCGAGAGTGGAGAATTTAAATATAATATCAACTCTAATTGATATATAATATAATATCAAATATAATATAATATCAACTCTAATTGATATTTATTCACTTGTGATGTATGATATTTAAAAATAAATTGGCATACGATAGTCAAGTTTTAACTTAATACTTTTAATTTAATATGAATATAAAAATAGTCTAAAGTGTGATGCTCTTGCAAATATTGCAGTTTTCTTATTATTGATATTTTTATTTTGAGATGATTTTCATTTTTATCTCTAAGTTTTAATTTTAAAATTGACTTATTATATTTTCTGAAATTTCTGTATGAAATTTTCATTATTAAGTACTATTTAATCATTCAATGAGACTAAATATCGAATTATAGAGTACTACTACGGAATTCAGTTTGCTGTTAAAGTCAGATTTCAAAGTGGCACCAAATAATTTAAGCTTTGGCCAATATAACTAAAATGTATTCAAAATAATTATGTAATTTTTAAACTTCGTTTTCTTCTCAAACAATGCTATATGTTTTTAAAAGACATGGCAACCAGAACGATTGTCATGATGATCGCGCAACATGTTTTTTTTTTTGTATACTGATTATACACCACTAGTATATTACGTTTACATGCCGATATACATTTAATACTAATATACTGATGCCATACACCACTAGTTTACATTTACATGCCAATATTGGCAAATGGGAACAGTAGTTTTTATAAAATTAATGAAGTTCTATAAATTTAAATTCTAAATATTTCGTCATTTTAATATTTGATTAAGATAAATGATCTGTAGCTTTCCAACACAAATCTACCATCAAGAATCTTAAGCAATGTCTTTAAATCATAAAGCCATAAATACATCTTATTTTATATCCTCCCATATAAATCACTTGTAAAAATCGGCATCTAAAAAATCGAATTGATAGTGATAACAGCAAAACTCAATTGTGTAGAAAGCATCGATTACATGGCGCACACCTGTGCATATCAGATGTGATTTGTTCAATTTATCGTTTTTATCAAATTAATAAAATGTTAGCCACTTGTACTCAAGTTTTATATCTATTCATCTCTATTAAATACATTCATTACACATACTAATAGTGATAATTATCTAGGTAACTGGTTTTATATTCCAACTATTCTAAATGTGTCAATGGCATTTTGAACGCTTATTTAGATGTTTATGGAATACTTTTATATTTTGAGTGCAATTCAACGTAAGTCTTAAAAGTAATAAATTTTATAAAAATAAAGTGAAGTAGGTGTAGTTAATAATAAATTTAAAATCATCAATTTCCGAACATTAACCGATATTGCGAGTTCTGCTGCATCAATATAAAAGAAAATCTTACTTATTTCAAATAATTATCTAAAGTCGGGTTTTCCTTTCTGACGATATAACTCCAGAACGCAGGAACCGATTTCGACGATTTTGCATTCGTTGGAAAGGTCTCGAAATCCGTGAGGTTTATACTATTTTTCGAATTTCCACATTAAATTAACTGAGCAGAGAACAATGAGTATCTGTTAAACAAATGAGTGCAGTCATACGCTGTATGTGAAAAAAGGAAAAGTGTTTTTCGCTTTTCTGTTGAAATTGTTTTTCAATTTTCTTTGCTATAAACTTCATAGCAAAGAAAATTGAAGAACGATTTCAACAGAAAAGCGGAAAACACTTTTTCTTTTTTCACATACAGCGTCATCTCTGATACTTAGCGTGTACTACAAACTAATATTTTTTGTTTGACTGCTACTCATTTGTTTAACAGCTACTCATTGTTCTCTGCTCAGTTAATTTCATCTGACAAACCGGCATTGTGTTCACTGTGAAATTGTGCAAAAAATGTAAAAAAATAAGTTATTCGTTTCCTAACATTTCAATTGGAAACCATCAAATCAATCACGTGTATTGTGTAAATTTTTTCTTCATCTTTTAATCACCAAACGAAATGTTACAAAAAATGAAACCATCTGGTAGTGAAACGGAGTTCGCCCTGTTTGCTAGTTATTTATAAATAATGATGTTGTTTTGCAAAAAGAAATTTATAACTAGTTGTAAGTGATATTTTTCCATTAAGGCAAGTTGCATGAACTTTATGAATGAAGTTAAGATATTAATTTATAAGTGATTTACATGTAAACTATTGCAGATTATTTAATTTAAATATTTTTTTATTACGCATTATTAAAAAACCAATGCATACCTAATATATACAAGTAGTATTTTTTAAAAGCGCGGTTGATTCCATGGGTTAATTAAAACCCAAATTGTAATTTTAATTAATTTTTATAATTAAATCACTCTTTGTAAGACTACATTATTTTAATATGTTCATTAAGACGAGGTACTCTATCGACATACAGAGTTTGTTTAAAATCGAATAACCAACCAATTCGTAAAATAACCAATTTTGAAGAAACGGCCTTGCCGATCTTTGTCCAAAAACTAATCAGCGCGATTTCTAAATTATATCTTTCGAATTGAATTTTCAAAATTGATTTATAATTTTTGGCTAAAACCCGAGAATTTTTTTTTCGCTTTTTTTCTAATTTTAAAGAAACGGCTCAGCCAATTGTATCAAAAACTAACCAACTTGAGTGCTTATTATCAAAGATTTCAGTCGATTCAGAATCACTTGAAACGTCGAAACATGAAAATCTTATTCGGCAAATTAACTCTTATAACGAAATTTTATTATCTAAGATATCAAACGTATAGTGATATTTCTTTATTATTGAATTTACGTTAACTAAACTTATTCTTTTCATAATTTATTTCCATAATTACAATCAAGTGAAACATCAATTACAATTTACAATTATCAATTACAAATTACAAATATCAATTGAGATTTGTACTAAAATAAGTTGATCTTTCGCATTTTTGAGAAATTTGTTTGACGTTTTGTTTGAAGTGTGTAAGCTAAATAAAATTTCATCCCATATGATTATCTTTGTTATTCTATACAATAATAAAATAAAGTAAAATATATTATTTTTTGTATACATGTATTAAATATCCATTTCTTTTTTTAGATGAGCGGGTGTAGTTTACGATGCCGAAGGTGCCTTTTATTTAGTTGTAGTGGAATTTTTGTAATATTAGCTTTAGTGTGTGGTTTACTATGGCCTATGATAGCAGATCCCATTATGCGATCGGTAAGTGATTAATTTTAATCAGAATTTAAACCGTATTTTTGATATTTTTAGTAATTAATAACTATGTAAGTGAAATACATCAGGGGAACATTTTTTAACTAGCACCTAATGCTCTCCAGACATAATTTTTATTTCCGACTGTTTGTTGGTCCATAGTTAATTAAAAAGAAATTTACAATTTTTTGAGTTTATCAATTATTATATCTAGTTTTAACTTTCATAGCTCCGTAAAACTAAAATATTTTCAATATATTAGATTTAGAAGTAAAAATATATTTCACGATGGCATGCAAAATTGTCGAAGAAATTCAATAGATTTTTGAAAATATAAATAGATTCTGTCATGATTACAATAAATTTAATTGATCAGTTGAGCAAACTTTGAATTTTTTCATATGTTGTTTAAGATATTATTATATGGTATTTAAAAAATCTTAAACATATTTTCTACATTTATTTTTATTTTATCACTTCTCACTTATGATTCTCTTCTCTTTGTCAAAGTGCAATACCCTCTCATGTTAATGACAAACTAAACCGGCCTGTCCAAATTGACTTGACTTCAACGTCATAAAATCTCAATAACTTAATATATATATATATATATATATATATATATATATATATATATATACTCGTATATTAAAATTGTTTTTTAAAATGCCAATCTTTAATGGATTCAATTATCGATACTTGATTCGACAAATTTGACCCGAACAACATAACTTACAATTTACTTTATTAAGAATTGGTACATAGAGTTAAAGCTTCTAATTGATGCGAAATAATTTTATATAATTTTTTATGCAATAGATCGGAATTCAAGTTATTTTTCAAATAAACTAGAATGCTGAAAGTATGATTTTTTGAAAGTGCGAATTGCGTTTGGTTTCAGTTTTAATAATCGCAACCTATGATGTAATAGGCTTGATATTTTTTAATTTTTCATAAAATACAATACCAATTCCTTAAACATTTCAATTATATTTTACATTCGTTTTCAATTTGTGTAATTATGAAATTGGTTGTCTAGTATTTCTTTTAGAAGCATTCACATTTAAATAAAATTAGTATGCTAATGATAGAAATGTATGTGCTATAGGGTAGGGTGGGGTACAAAGGTATCCAATCCAATCCAACTTGTAATCATACTGTCTAAATTAAATGAACTAAATCTCAACAAATAACACGATTCAAACAAACAACTATCGAAATATGCTCACTCAGTAAAATTCTCAGTTAATTCCTAATTATAGAAATAAAAAAAAGAAAGAAGTGTTTTAGCTATTTTTCTAAACTTCTAAATTTGTTTCTGAGCCACACTGGGTAAAAGGAACAGCTTTTGGACAAACACATACAATGTCTTATTTTCAATTTTAAAGGAATTTCATGCAATAATAGCTAAATTATTTAACCAATGCGAAATAAAAATTGTATGAGCATATTTTTACAAAGATTACACCGTATATAATATTGATCTGATATTTTGTCACCGGAAAAATCTATTAGTTTAATTAATCTCTTGTAAAATCACTTTTTTAATTCAATTGACTTTTTCATTTAATATTTTTTATTGTTTACTTATCTTTGGCAGGGCAAAGGATCAGTTGTTTTTTTTTACCCCACCCACATATGAGATATTATAGATGTCAATTTAAAGATTTAAATGTAAAGCAATTATATTATGTATCATATTAAGGTCTCGTAAACTAAACAACAGTGCTTACAACCAAACAAACTAACAACAAAAGAAAATACTTTAAAGATTTTCAAACGTAGCAGGTTAACTCCTTATAGCGACGTCGTAAGAATTAAGATGGTGGCTGGTTATACACTTTTTACCCTCTACTTTCAAATTATTCGGACGTATTTTCGTTTTATAATATTGGCCATGAGGGTGACAATCTTCATGGCGTTGAGCTTTTACACGGAATGATTGCTACCTCTGGTAGAAGGAGTAGCGAAGTGTTTTGATGAAACTAATTGTCTACTTCTAAAAGAAAAATCCGCTTAACAACATGTATAATAAATAACCAATAAATATCTTTTCATTATAACTTAGTATACAAATCAGTGATTGTAATAAGAAATGCAACAAATACATACAAATACAGAACAAATGAGTGTTTAATACAGTCCACAGCTACAAGGGTTAAATTATAACCCAACAACCTGAATTATCGAAGGAGAGTTTTAATAAATTTTATAACTACGTGGCGGTATACACAATATTGTTGTTACAAAAATCCTAACTTTACTTGTTTTTGAAATGTAGAGGGTGGACTTTTTTACCCGCGAACCTTTAAGCGCTCTCTCTATCCTAATCGAAATGTATATGCCAAATTTGTTTTGCAAATTTTGTGTGAAAAATATAAAACGTTTGTTGTAATTAGTATTAAAGCCCGGAAGTTAAAACTTAATTCGCAAATCGCAATTAAAAAAAATTAAAACGTAAATCAAATTCAAGTAATATTAGTATGCTAATGATCGAAATGTATATGCTCTAATCGTAATATATGCCGTATTTAATTTACGAATTTTAAATTAATATTATTAAATATTTGCAGCAATTAGTGTTGCAGCCTGGCAGTAAAAACTTTGAAATGTGGAAAGAAACTCCTATACCAATTTACTTAGAACTCTATTTATTCAACTGGACGAACCCAGATGATATTAATAACCATGATATTAAACCACATTTTGAAGAAATGGGACCATATGTATTTCACGAAAAACATGTCCGAGTTGACTTAAATTGGAACCAAAATAGCACAATCACATTCAAGCAGAAAAGGATATGGAACTTTATGCCGGATATGTCGAAAGGATCTTTGGATGATATGATAACTAACTTGAATGTCATTGTTTCAGTAAGTATAAATATGACATATATCTTATATACAAAATTCTTCTGTATGGGTGTATGATTTGATACTTCTAAATGGTTATTCGGATTTTGATCATTCTTTTTAGAGTTTGTCAAAGGAAATTTTTAACATTTAATTAACGATAAAACTATAGTAATATTGTAGAAATAAATGGCGAAAATTACAAAAAAAACTCTTATCATTGTTTGACATTGAAGACATTTGAACTGTCATTTGCTAGAAATGTCAATTCATTTGAAATTTGAATTTAGCTGACTTTATGAGTCTAGATAATATTAGAATATAATATATAAGAAAAATGTAATGTCTACATTATTATTGCCGAAAAGCAGCTGAGATGTGACAGAAATTAAAATTATATAATATAAGGTCAACAGTATATGATTGGCAGATGAAATTATATAATTCTTTTTAATAAATAACGCAATGAGTCCAAAGTTATTATATACATTATTTTTTTAAACTTATGCATGTCGCATTTTAGTTTACTTTACTAAATTATTTAATAATACAAAAAAATATTTCTACTTATTAAAAAATGATTTAGAATTTGGTTTCATGTGTCAGAAATTCATTTGTTTGGCATTGGATATGGAATATTTAGCAAGTTGATCTTAGATTGAAGAGTGCTCATATGAACTAGATTTTACAAATTAATTCACTTAAGATTTGAACATAAACTTAAATTATTAGTAAAAAAAGGTTCTTTAGAAATTATAATTGCCCAAAAGCAACTAATATATCGTATGAGATTATGAAATTTATAGACTAAATTATTGAAGCAATTATGTTGTGTGGTGAAATCAAGTGTGATATTGTCTTTTACCGCAAATACTATTTTTTTTTCTGAATTTCTTATACTGCTTATGCTAAGACCATAAATGAATCACAAAGGCAGGACATCAAATATTATATTAAAAAGTATAGGATAAGATATTGAAAAATTTGGAACTTTTGAATTGTACACGTGGGTACAGAACAACGTCTGTCGGGTCATCTAGTATATATATATATATATATATATATATATATATTTTGTATGATTCTGAATTTGATGTTGACATATGTATTAACAAAGTCTAATAATCGGGCATAACATCAATAAAAAACATGAATTTCTTTCAAAAATTTTTGAAAGAAATTCATGTTTTTTATTGATGTTATGCCCGATTATTAGACTTTGTTATATATATATATATATATATATATATATATATTTGCGTGCATGTGTGTAATATACATATTACATATATAGGGTCATATATATGACGTGATATTTAGTTTGGACATGATACATTGCGTTATATTTAAATTCATGCAGTCATGTGAAAACGAAAATGCATTTCACATGTTTTTAGTCTAATAACTAGTAAATAATTAACCTACATTCATTGAAATATTACCATAGATATTCAATTGATATTTCATGTATTAATAAATAATTTGAATTTTTGAGTTTTTAATGTAGTTTTAACTATCACCTTGATATTTTTATTCGATTTCGATTTAATTATTTATGGAAGATAAAAAGTTTTAATATTTTAGATAATTTTTTTCTTCTTCAGTGCTAATTTTAATACGTGCGTTTAAATATGAATTATATGGTATATATGGATTTTGATTAGATTAGAATACAAATGAATATTCGGAAGTTTTCCGCAAATAGTTTATAAATAATTTTATCAAGATATGGCATCCAGAATTTAGTAAAAATATTAGTACATACAGTGAGAAGAATCAAAATTTATTCAAAAAAGTATATTTTGAATTGCGTTTTTTTTTATATATTAATACATCTAATGTATCATTAGTTGAAGATAATGATGATTGGTGATTAAAAAAATGTTAGACAAGCAATTCCTTTTGAGATAATCGTTTAAATTGTAAAAAGCGGTATAAAATCATTAAATTTTTGCCTTTTATGTCGAAATTTTTATTTTATTTCGATAGTCACGATTTACTTGAACCATGGTTATATATCCACATGATACAATAAATCAATTAGCCAATAATGCAGCTACCTACACATGAAACAGAAAAAGAATTAACTTTTACCATTACACTTGAAATAAGTCATTTGGATTTTTTTAAATATTAGGATCATGTATTTAATCTAATTCTAGTTAGACTGTTAGAATGTTTTGTCAATTTTTATACTTCCGCATGAGTACCTCATTTCTGATGGAATGTCGAGAATTTAGAATGCATAATTGAAACAATGTTACAATCACAATGAATGTTTGCATTTTGTTCGTCCAAGCATAACCTATCGTCAGTGCAAACACACTTTTTCTTTAGTGATACTTACATAATGGTGAAAATAGCATAGAACAACATAGAAAATAGTGACCAATTAAAAAATAGGCTGATTTCTAACCTTTTCTCTTACATATACAATTGCCTGACTTTTCTTTGAGCTCATTACTGAAAATAGTTTTCAATCAAATAAGCACCTTCTCGCGAGTTATAATATGGGAAAGACAAGCAAAATACGACTGTATAACACGACGAAAGCTATAATGACAATCCTGCCAGATGTTGAACGTCATTGTCGCAGTCTTGTCGCAGTAATCAGTTCAAACATTAATTGCACCTTCAAAGCTTATTTTGAGTACTTTTTTGTTATGATTATTTGGGACTTATTTGTTGGGTTCTATCAATATATCTATTTTAAAATCAATGAACTTATGCCAGCACTAGTAACTTTATTACAATAATTAGGTGTTTGATGGATTTATTTTTTATTTTTTATTCATTTTTGTTCACTTTCGGAGAAAATGGCATACTTGTTATAATATCATTGAATAAATTCCGTATTTTGCTTATATGTTATAAGAAACAATTATCTATGAAGCAATATTACAAATAAGAATTAAATTACCAAAACTATTGCAAAAGGTGAAGTTTGCCTCAATCAACATTAAACGAATAAAACGTATAATTAAATTGGACACTATGCAATCAATTTTGAGTTTGAGTGACACTCAATTTTGCATTTCGCCAATGATGTTTTGCGTTAATTTTCGTTCTATATATTCTCGACTGAAACTTTCCTAATAAGATCAAGCTAATATAAAGAAGAATTGTTTAAATAGTAATAATAAATAGTTTGAAAACCCACTTAACTAGCATTCAAGCATGTTATGTGTTTGAATCAAACTAACCAAAACTAACTTTTGAGGTATTAAAATTTTGAACTTATTGTTACTTTTATATATGTGAGCTATTAATAATTGTTTCAATTTTCAGACAGTAGCATATACTGTAAGAAATAAGCACTATCTCATACAAAAAGCCGTAGATCTTCTGATGAGAGAGAAGCGTGAAAAACTAGTCATAACTAAATCAGTGCGGGAACTATTATTTGATGGGTACCAGGATCCTTTAATAGATCTGATCAGAAAAATGAACAACACAGGATTCCAAATTCCTTTTGACAAATTCGGATGGTTTTACTCCGTGAGTATAATTATTATATGAAATGACTATTTCATAAGCCAGAATAAATTGTTGACAAAGAAGAATACTAATATTTAAAAATGTTCAAAAAATTATCCATCACATGCCAGATCCAAAATCTACTTTTAAGTATTTTACTTTATAGAGAAGCTATTTGAAAGTAGATTCAAATATGAGATAAACTTCTTTATTTTAAAAACACAATCATATTTCCTGAATCGGTTGCAACTTTTAAACATTGAACAGAGAGATAACTAATTTGCGTTCGAATTGTATGTATTTTATTAAGTATTAGTATTTTTATATATTTAATATACATCTAACATCTTCTTATCTTAAAGATTACATTGTTCTGACTATTAATCCATATGACATCATAACTACATTGTGTAATAGAATAATTTATGGCTAATATCTACTATCAGATCATCTTATTAATTAAAAATATCGATGCATTCAACGAAATGTCTTTTATCTTATGAAGATTATGTTTTGAATATTCATATAATCTCCCTTTGTGTTTCAATACTTTCTTCAAATCAGTAGCTTAAAATATTTTTTTATGTTTAATTTATAATTGATTATTTAATCAGATCCTACGTATTTTACTGCACGCCATTCTAAATAAAATTCCATTCTAGATAAAATAAACACCTTACATAATGCAATATTATTATGAAATAACGAGCAATTTTTTATAATATGCGATTTTAATTCTATGCATAATTATTTCTTACTATAGTTGAGAATTTTTTATAGTTGTGTAACATTTTTATATGTTTTATAATTTCCTGTTCGCATTGTCATCATTTTTCTAAAAAAATTTCTACACATAATTGCTATATCGCATTTTAGTTAATAACATAAAATTTAATAGAACTATATAAATTGATCTTTACGAATAGTTTCATTTTAGTTTTTTTTGCTAAATCATTGCTAAAACTGATTAGATTTATTTTTATCACATAGGTAGCGTAGATTTTTCTAACAGCTGCTATCAAATAGTTTCTCAAATTATTTAATCTTTGACCATTTTCTATTATGTTTAGCAAATTGAAGTCTTGACTTAAATATAACTATTATTATTTTCACTAACTTCTCTTCTTCTATTTTAGCGTAATGATTCAAAAACGTACGATGGTGAATTCAACATGTTCACCGGAGAAGACTCGATGTCCAAATTGGGCGTCTTGGACAGGTGGAATGGCGTGACCGAAACTAAGTTCTATCAAGAAAACTCTCAATGTTCTAAGGTTGTAGGAACGACTGGAGAACTTTGGCCACCCCTTGAAGGACATGACAAAATCACTGTTTTTGCCACAGATATATGCAGGTGATTAAAAAGATCTTCAAAAATTTATTTATTGGAGAAAAGGTTTTGAAAATCATATAATTGATAGAAAATTCATTTTCCATATCATGTGGAAAAGCTAAAATTTTTTGACAATGGAAAAGTAAACCAAATTGAAAAATATTAATAAAATCCAAATCATTATTAGGAATTTGGTTGTAATCATGGTTGTTCTACGTTCATGGTGTCATATTTTTCGATATAAAATTACTGTCTTCAATTCTGTATTTTATTAAAAAAATAAAAGCTTTTGGACCTATTAAGCGGCGGTTAGTCTTCATGATTAAAAGTTCGGAACACTATGAAAGTAAGATTTATGAGACATTGCAAACATTATTCCGATTTTTTTTTAAACATGTAGCCAAATTTCTTAGGAAGAAAGGTTATAGCAAAATCTATAATTATTCTTTAATTATCTTTAAACCTGCATCAGGGGCGTAGCGTGCCTTGGCGGGGCCCGTATATAAACTTGTTTGGGGGCCCCCTCATGAAGAAATTTTTTTCATAAAATAAAAAAATATATAAAACTGAAAGAATATTTATTTATCATTTTAATTATTTATCTATCTAATTCTCTCTAATTTTCTGAACTTTTTACAAATGATTCCAGATATTTATTCACTCTCCTTGCTTTTTTTGAAAAACTTAGTTTTTATTTTAAAAATATCATTTTAAAGCAATTGCTATTGTAACTGCAAGGGCCAAAGCTACGCAAAAAGATGCAAGCCTATTGCATTCATCATTGTATCTTAATAAAATAAATTTCTTAGATGTTTGTATTCAAACCTATTTCTTGTGCCATCAATTAGTCATGATCATATATCTTAACAGTATTTCTTTATAGTAATTCAGTCGACAGTTTTCCGTAAATGTTTATTAGTTCTCGATTTCAAAAAGGCAAATGTTACTAACTACTTAAGTCGCAAAGGTTTGGAAGTCTTTGTTTGATTTGTGAAAATAATATATCCAAACAGCAATAGTATATATTAAAATATAGTTTCGGGTCTAAAATTCTCTCATCTTCTGATAATTCATCATAATAATAATAAAAGATAATAACGCTTCATTATCTTTTGTCTTTTGTTTTCTAAAATAGTTATTGCAATCCATCTTTTTTGCAAATTATTTGGACTTATTTAACTAACCAATTCAATAATTTTTTATATCTTAATTCTCAAATGATTACTTAATAAAATACTAGTTTTTTGTAAGTCATTACTGGGATGTTGTAGAGCTTCAAAAATGAAACTAATAATTTGAAACAGTGAAGAAAAAAATCTAAAAATGATTTAGTTGATCATATTTATCAAAATATATCTATTAAACTTACGCGTCATGCAGACAATTCAAGTAGTAACAAAAACAAATATAAAAATGTTATAAATATATCTATAAAAATTCCAAATCCCAATTTTCTATGAAGAATTTATAAACTGGATTGGTTTTATAGATTTGTTCATATTTGTGCAAGAATATTAACCCTTTCGACTCGGATGCCGCCGATAACTAAACTTACATTTAATTTTTTTTTATTTTTTAAAATTAATTTACTATTATATTCATTTATTGATTGATTTATTAATTTTATAAATAAATATATAACAAAATTAACTTATTAGCTCATGATCCCCATAATTCTAATAAAGATCTGTGAAGAAATGATTTTTTAAACAATATAGCATGGTTTTGAGTGCAATTTTTTTCTAATTTTCAAAATTTTCTATTTTATTATCATAATAACTATATTTAAAGCAATACAACCACATTTTGAAAAAATCCGATACAAAAAAAAATTCCGAGTTGAGAGATAAGTATAGCACTATAATATTCCGAGCACAGCGTACTGACTGGCAGTCCGACTCCCGATTCGAAAGTGTTAACTTATCGGATGAGCAAAAGCTTTACTAATTGAATTGATTGCTAGAGCTTGCAAAAATATTGCAGCAGAAATAAATTCTCTTAAAGCGTTAGCTTACATGTTGAAGTTCAATACCTCTCGATAACAAAAGAAAATGCAAACTACGTTAAAATTATTCAATTTTTTAAAAAAAAATGGTTGTTTGCTTTCTGATTGTGCTCGTTGGGGGCCCCCCTGGCGTGGGGGCCCCGTATTTTTGATACGGCTGATACGGCGGTAGTTACGCCCCTGATCTGCATTTCTATACAAATTTTAATTTAAAAAAAATCGCGTCATGTTGGACTTCTGAACACTATTTTCTATCGAAGCACTTCGTTAAAATTGCATTATTGACAATGACTTCATATTGGCTATGATAAACTCAGAAATATACTATATTTTTGTATGAACTAAAATTTTAAACTAATTTAAGCAATAAACACATGATTTTTTAAACTATACTGAATTTAAAAAAAGTATAAAATATTTTTCATAGAATTTTTTGCAAAGTTTGTCATAGCACAAATTTCTAAAATTGCGCAATATCATGTATTGTAATAACATTTAAGAATATTTATTTCAGGGGAGTTTCCTTAACATATTCGGGTCCACATTCAGAGCACGGAATAAAGGGCAACATATACATCGGTGATAAATCGGTCTTTGATAATGGTGTAGTATACCCGGAAAACAAATGTTACTGCATATCCGATCGGGAACATTGCCCAGATTTGGAATCAGGAATGCTTAATGTTTCTAGCTGTCGATATGGGGCTCCAGCTTTTGTTAGCTACCCTCACTTTTATTTGGCAGACCAGGTAATTATTTGATACCAATTATTAACTTGCCTTAGGGTAAGTTATAGTAATCCTAAAAAAAAACTTATTCTGAACATTTTGGCATACCTCAGAAAAAAATGATGTATGCGTGTTTATGTGTTTATGTATTTGCGGATACAATGTTTTGTCGATGATTTTGAGGACACGGATTCACCAAAACATTCGATTTGTATTGATTTCAATAATTCAAAAAACATTTTACTTGTATTGACAGAATGAAAAACTGATTAAATTGTTGGGATTAAAAAAATAAATAAAATGCCATTTTCTGGTCAAAAATGATCATTAGACATATGCACAACAAATTATAAGATATTTTATAGAGATTTTAATAATAAGTACAAATTTTGTTATATTTATATGGGTTTCGCACTAATGTTTTTTTAATTAATGCTATTTGCATTAAAGCACGATGCCATGTACAACTAATTTTTTAATTAAATTCATATATATTATCATTAATTGCAACTAATAATCGTTATTATATTAATCATAATTTGCTGATTCATGTTGCAATGATAAAATAGTTGTGAATGTGAAGTTTCTGATAACTTTATTTTATAGTGGATATTTTTTATTTTTATTAAGTGTTTTATTTGCGCAATTGAAGTATGTTCGCAGTATAATAATCACTGACATAAATTTGTGCGTAGTATATTTAAAAAATAAATGAAGGTTCCTTAACTCTATTTTAATGATACTTAAATATCTTAGTTTGTATAAGATTTTTAAAAATTTAAAATTTTGTAAAATTTGACACTGGCAATGATTGATGATTGAATGATTCGCCTAAAATGCAATGACTGCACGTTGATTAATAATTATAATTAATAAGTATAATTAACTTATTTTATTTGCAGAGTTACTTAGAAGCTGTGGACGGACTTAAGCCAGATAAATCTATTCATGAATTTAGAGTGGCGCTTGAGCCCCAAACTGGAATTCCTCTACTTGTCAATGCAAGATTGCAAATCAATATGCTCTTACAGCCTGTAAAAGGCATATCGTAAGTATTATATTTGAAAATATTGTTATTTGAAACATTTTATCGTACCTGTTTGTTGCAAAACATGTAATTTAACATAATCAATATCATGCTGAGGCTTATTTTACTTCAAAGTTTGAAACGACATTTTGGTATTGCTGCAGTTAAATTAATCATTGTAATTATATTGATTAATAGACTAAAAATCGCTCTTCCCAAATATTTCATTATTCTGTGCAACATTTTTAAAAATCTTGTAATATATCAAAGATTTGGAATCGAACCTTGTTTCTGTCGTGTGACCTTTTTTTTTATCGTTAGTATAAAATTAGATAGGAACTTTACTAAAGCAACAATAATAAATTCTTGCGTTTGAGTACTTGAACCTTTTTATTTAGTAGTAGGCTTTGTAAGCTGGCGGTATATTTCAAAGCTAGCGGTGTATGGCATCGTGCTTTAAGGCATTAATCAATAAATATTTATCAATGATTAAGAACAATCGTTTGATACATCTTCAAATAGATAATTATAATCACTATATGTTTTATCGTTCATAAAATTTACAGTAACGATCTTATTGCTCAAAACACTTGAGAAAGTTTACATTAGGGGGCGTCCATTAATCACGTGAGGTTTTTATGGGGTGGGGGGGTTTGACAAAAAATCACGAAAAATCACGTGGGGGACGGAGGTGTATAGTAAGATATCACGTGTATTTATTTTTTAACTGATTTTTTAAAAAAATTCAAACATTTTAAAAAAAAATCAAAAATCTTACGTAACTAAAAATACACGTGATGTTTGGTGGGGTAATTTTGAATATCACCATCAATCACCAAAGGGGAGGGGAGATCCAAAAATCCTTAAAAACTAGCTCACGTGATTAATGGACGCCCCCTTAGCAGTGTGTGTGATTAGAATAACGCATTTGAAATATATACATTTTCAAACTGATCATTATAGAATTAAAATTCATATTAGAAGTATAAAACTTTGTATATTTTTGAAATTTGCTTGATCCGTATAAGTAACTTTAAAAATTAACAATCTTGGTTCAGAAACCAACAAAATTGTTACAAAATTAGTACACATTTTTAACAATTTTATCACATGACATATCTGATAATTTGATGTGCATATTTCTAATGATCATTTTTGACGGTGAAATAGCATTTTTTTACCTTTTTTTCTGTATCTCCGAAACTGCTATACCTGCCTTATCAATTCGTCATTTTGTCAATACAAGTAAAATGTTTTTTGAATCATTCAAATCAGAAAACGTTTTCTCAAAAACTGAATTTCCATTTTTGGCACTTTTTGGCCCGTATGTTTGAAACAACTGGCGCCTAACTTCAGCAAAAAGTAATCAGCATGTCTTCTCATCAATTGATTCTCATCGGTTGATCCGTGCGCCCGAAATCGTGGACGAAAAATTATATCCAAACATACTCACACACACACACGCACACATACATCCTTTTTTTCTAAGGTATGACAAAATGTTCAAAAACCCTCAAGACGTGAAGATTTGCAAAAAATTTCATTATCGATTTTTTTGCGATTTTATACATTAATTTTAATACTATGTATAAGTTTTATTTAATAAATGTTGGGCTTCTTACTAATAAATAAATTTTTATGGAATGGGCTTATGGAATCCAACTGTGGGGTTGTTATAGTAATTCAAATGCTTACAATCCAAAACACTACGAATGATCATATCCGAGGCCGGATCGACTCGGATTTGACTCCGCTTCAGGGAGGAGTTATATTTATAGTTATATCCGCTTAACAACTCCACGACTCCGACAACTTTGAAACCGAAATACTCGACACAAATGCGTTCTATAGCGCGTTGTTTATGCATCTAAGGATTTGTCAAATCCCATTTAATTTTTTTAAATGAAAATTTATGAATAAAATAAAAGTAAAAAATATCAATAAAATAATTTTTCGAAAAAATTCACAAATAAATGACGAGTTGTAAAATTTTTCGGTCGACCAGATGATCGACTCAATGACTCGTTATTTTAGCAGTGTTGACCAAAGTAAAAACGCAAAACTTGAGAATCAAATTCAATTTAATTATTTCCTTTTGATGAGAAAATATTTTTTTTGAATTAATTTCATATAAAAATAAAGTAGTAAAATTTGTAATAAAAGCAAAACATTTATCATAAAATATTTTCACCAAATAATAATACTTCTGCTTTCTAATTTTTTCTTCTGCTATTTCCATTCGAGAATTAATATTATATCGGGTAGTTCGATTAGCATATTATTACTTTTAGACAATTATATAATTGTGTAAAAGTTAAAATTTAATACTATATATTTTTTGCTGCTTAAATACTATTGACGTCACTGATATATTTTGCACTCTAAAGTATTGTTAATTCAGGCTATCGAAAAACTAGATTAAATGTATTTTGTTTCGTGTATTTTTCGGTATGTATATTACTGATTGCCGTCATTCACGGCCAAAGATTGTCGAATGATTGTTAGAAATATGACCCCTTACTATTCAATAAATTATACATTGGAGCTATTCACACTTGAACACAATTTCATTGTGCTGTATCTTTGAAGTAATATTTTTGTATTTTCTGGAAAAAACGTATACCAAAAGGGTTATAAAACTGCCTGTGAATCGAGAAAGCGACAGCTTCCTTGCCAAAGCAAAAACGCAGTAACAGATTTAGTATCAGTTTAGGGAAGTCGGATATGACAAATCCGACGAGACAACTCCACTCGGATTCACTCCAAGGGAGGAGTTGTATCGGAGTGATAATTCCGGAGTGAGTTACCCATCTCTAGTTTGTTAGCACCATAAACATACATCGGGATCTTAACATCCTTTTTATAGTGTATGTGATCAAAACTAAAAACACTAAACATCATACAAACTTTACAGTCACAGTCCTAAATATTTTGCCACTTTATATTTCTGTTATCTCGTAGATATTAGTCTCTGACTGATTAATTGATTTTTTTTTTCAGAATGATGAACAGCGTGCCTAAAGTATTTGTGCCTATGATGTGGTTCTGCCAAAGAGTATCTTTATCTGAAGACATTGCTTCGCAGGCGAAGCTCGGCCTTGTCATGATAGATTTAGGATCCTATCTGTCATATGCCTTTGCCGGAATTGCTCTAATCATCATTTTAGTAGGTTTATATTTAGTTTGTAAGGGCCCTTGGAAGGGCAGCGAAGGTGAGCGCCTGATACGGCCGGTATCATAAAAAGACAGAAATATAATGTTTTAGTATTTTGATATTCCATTAATGTTCTGATATGAGTGATTATGCTCAATGTTGAATTTGATACTTATTTTTATTTGTTCAAATGTTGTTTGAAAGATGATTTTTTTTGAAAACGATCTTTCTAAAGGAAAATTTATTTAAGTGCTTCAATTTTTAATCTTCCAATATTCTAAAATTGTATTTTAGATTTCATAATAATCCTGCTCACATAATATATTAATATCTTATAATAATCTTTTACTCTAACATTTAATAATTATTAATTCATTTTAATGCCATTTTAGTCACATCATAAACTCAGGCTCTTAATTTAAAATGAGATAAGATCTTTAAGTCATATTTGTTGCCAGTTTAACTATAGTTATATATAAATATATAACCAAAATAATTGTGATACTTCATGCCTTTCATTACAACTGATATAAAAATTAATTTGCGTCTAATTTGAAGTCAACATTAAGTTAAATAGTTATTAGTCTAAAACTCATGAAAAAGTATAGGTTCCCATTATCTGCATCAATTCTATAAATGGTATGGAAAATGAAGCTTTAAAATGATTGAGTCAAATTTGCATTGTAAAAAAGAAATGTCGTCTTACATCCATATCTTCATATTTGACAAAACGATATTTTTTAAAGTAAACTTTAAGCTTATAAAAATCTTAAATACATGCATATTTATATATATATATATGCACAGGCAAATCCTATTTTGCTATGTCTTCTCTTTGGTGCTTTTGGGAAATCTGTTGAAATTTTATTTAATAACAATGAAGAGTATGCAATTAATTTCCTTGCCATTTATGTTTTACATGATTGAGTTTTGAGACTAATTTAACTTCCATTTTTTTAAATAGTGATATTAGTCGCAATATTATTTTGGATAAAAATGACAATTAGGTATAATAACTTTAATAAGAATCAGTCAATTTATAATATGTACTCTAATAAAGTACTTATTTATTAAGATTTGTGAAAACTTTTGGAAAACTAAATATATTATAACAATAATTATACATTGTTAATTTAAGTTTTGAAAATAAAATTAATTTAATTAAATAATCATGATATTTTATTTATACGTTATTATTTCTCTGTTCATGAATGAATCCATAGAACATTTTTTTTTTTTTTTATTAATTAATAAACAGCAATCAAAATTACATAAAATTTTATAAGCTATTCTGCTATGGTTTAACAACAAAATATATATATGTATAAAATAAATGAAATAATAATATAAATAATAATGATAATAATAATGATAACAGTAATAATAATAAGAATAATAATGAGAATGATAATAGTAATGATAATAATAATAATAATATAATAATAATAATAATAATAATAAAAAAATAATAATAATAATAATAATAATAATAATAAAATAATAATAATAATAATATTAATAATAATAAAATAATAGTATCAGGATCACTCCATTGAGTGACCACTTAAAGATAATAAATCTACTCGAGTAGATCTATGGGCCAGTTTCTTTTAAGTCTTCTCCTTGTTGGCGCATGTAGATGCGGTTGCAATAGTCTGTTAGGGTGGTTTTCAATCTTGTGGTTATGGGTGATGCTTTTGTCCTTGATAACATCTTTAATATAAGGTATGTTCAGATCGTTGTGAATAGTATAGTTCGAAACATACCATGGAGCATTACATATTTCACGAAGAGTCTTGGACTGAATTCTTTGCATCATGACAATGTTAGATTTACTGGCACATCCCCATAGTTCAATGCCATAGGTCCAAATTGGCTTAATAATGGTTTTATATATTAAAACCTTATTATCCATTGATAGTACAGAGTTTCTTCCTATGAGCCAAAATAAATCTTTAATTTTTAGTTTAATTTGTTGTATTTTAGTTTTTATGTGATGTTTCCATGTCAGTCTTTTATCTAAGTGCATGCCTAAATATCTAACTGTGTCATTTTGTGGCAGCTGCTCTCCATTCAATGATACAGGTGGGCATGTTTCTTTCCGTAGAGTAAAAAAATGTGGTGAGATTTTATAGAATTTATTTTTATTTTCCAGTTATTTGCCCATTCTTCAATTTGATTTAGATGCTGTTGAAGCTTCGAAGATGCTTGGTTTGGATTATCATCGACTGCATGAACAGCAATGTCATCTGCAAATGTGGCAGTTGTTGTTTGCCACCTGGTCGGAAAATCATATGTGAATAATAAATAAAGAAATGGTCCCAACACGCTTCCCTGTGGTACCCCAGCCTTCATAATTTTTGGTTCTGTGTAATCACTACCTATTTTTATTTGAAACTTCCTATTCTTTAAGTACGATTCAAAAAACTTATAATATGACGGAAGTAATGTTTTAATTTTGTGAAGAAGTCCTTCATGCCATACCTTGTCAAATGCTTGACTTATGTCAAGAAAGGCAGCTGAACAATATTTACTCTTCTCAAAAGTCTTGGTAATTGAATCCACTAGTCTGTGACATTGTTGAATCGTAGAATGTCCTTTTCTGAAACCAAACTGATGATCTGGTAGCAGACTGACTTCTTTGTTTATATCTTCCAGAATAATTTTTTCAAAAATCTTGGACAAAATTGGTAGGAGACTAATAGGCCTATAAGATTGTACCAGATGTAAATCTTTTCCTGGTTTAGGAACCATTATGATAGACGCTAACTTGAAGGTTGAGGGCCAATAATCCATCCTTAAAATTGCAATAAAGATATATGTAATAAAAATTACTCCCTTTCTTGGAAGTTCTTTAAGCATTCTGGGTGTAATTTGATCCGGACCTGGAGATTTCTTTATTTTTATTCTCTGAATTTCATTGAATATTCTTTTAACTGTGAAAAATTTCGTTTTGTTAGCTGTAAAGTCTTGTCCAATGTTTGTGGAAAACTGAAAGCTATGATTTGAAAATGAAATATTCGGTGTAAAAACTGAGCTTAAGTATTCTGCGAATAATATGGATTTTTCTGAGTCACTTCTCGCCCAATAAGTTGAAGAACTGCTTTCCCGAATTGGTGATTTATTCATGATAGGTTTTTTCTTGTTGGCAATAGGCTTCCACACAGAGTTATCAAATCTGTTGAGTTTTTTTAAATAATTGTTAAAGCTATTCTCATTCCATTGTTTAATTTTGACTTTTAATTTATTACTTAATTCATTAAGTATTTTTTTATCAGTTGGATAATGAGAATTTTGCCATATTCTTCTTGCTTTTCTCTTTGCTGCTATCAATCTTTTTATTTCAAGACTAATACTGGGAATTTTATAACTACTATTTTTGTTTGGAGTTGAAGATTTGACCGCATTTTCCATGATTTGTTTGAAATTGACAAGTTCATTGTCAATATCACTTGGAATTCGTAATTTGGCCTTTAAGTTAACATTTTCTTCAATTATGTTTCTATAAAATTCCCAGTTTGTATTGTTGTTATGCAACGCTGGAGCTTGATTTGTTGGTATAACTGTCGTATTGATTGATGCAATTATGGGCGAGTGGTCAGATGATAAATCGAAACAATTTTGAACTTCAATATATGATTTATTAATACCAGAAACTATGAAAAAATCTAAGAGGTCAGGTATTCTTGCCGGATCAGTGGGCCAGTACGTTGGTGTTCCTGTGGAAATAGTTGTGTATTTATGTTGTTGTATTAATTTATTTAATTCTTTTCCCTTGGGATTTACTAATCGTGATCTCCAATTTGTATGTTTGCTGTTGAAGTCTCCTCCAACTACAAACCTATTTCCCACAGTTTCGAAGAATTCTTGAAAATGAAAATCTTTCAAGTTATGCCTCGGTGGACAATATACGGCCGAAATCACTAAGTCATATGGTAATAGTTTAACTTTTACTGAAGTTGATTGTAAATACTCCTTGTTGAAATTTTGCAATTCGTAATGTGAAATACTTGTTTTGATAATTATTGCGCTGCCTCCATGTGCGTAACCATCTGGATGTGGTGTGTGATATACATTATAATATGGAATTCTGAGATGAGAATAATTAGTGAAATGCGTTTCACTAATTAATAGTATGTCAATTTTGTTCATTGATAAAAATAATATGATTTCATTTTTGTGAGAATGAAGACCATTTGCATTCCATAAAGCTATTCTCAGTAGTTGTCCCATTATTTTATTTTATTAATTACTGCTGAAAGCATGTTCAAAATCATTCCATTTTGTTGCATGACTTACTTGATCGAACATTTTTTAAATTCTGATAAGAATTGTGACAGTTGGCCATCCATGTTGGAATGATTGTTTACATTGGCGTGTGACGCTTGCTGACGTAGTGCTTGTGCATAGCTCAAATGGTCGGATGAGTATGCCGGTTTGTTTATGTTTTGATTTTGACTTCTAGGTTTAGTCGGGTTTGCGTTGATACGATTATTAACTGTTGTTTTCATTTTATGATTTTTGTCGATAAGTTCTTGATAGTATGAGCATTGTCGGTAATTTGCGTTGTGCGGTCCTTCACAAAAGTAACATGTACCAGGCGCTTCTTTGGGTTTTTTACACAATTGTGTTGGATGGGGGCCCCCGCATCTAAGACATACAAATGGCCGGTTGTAGTATCGTTTGGAGTGACCATGCAATTGGCATCTTGCGCATTGGATAATGTTTGAATTTTTAAATGGAGCTTCAAAATGCATAACTTGATTTAATAACCTGTTTATTTTAAAAATTGAAGCGTTATTTGCGTTTGGTTCGAGATCCACGTAGAACATATTAAGTGGTTGTTTTGTTTTAGGTTGCAAAACATTTAATATGTTACGCACTTTATGTATACCTGGTTTTTCAATCGCTGTTTTAATTTCATTTATATCTGTACTATGATGCATGTATTTTAAAACCACTCGATACGATCTTTCTGACTTTATTTGATATGTGTGATATACTGTGTTGCGTTCTTGCAAGTAATGAATAAATTTTCTGTAATTATCGGCACATATCCATTTTAATCTTGACAATTTGGTCCGGCAGGATTTTCGTTGTATATTGACCACTAGTAAACACTGTGTTTAAACTACTAATCATTAATTTAAAA